GAGAGAGAGAGAGAGAGAGAGAGAGAGAGAGAGACAGAGACAGAGACAGAGAGAGACAGAGACAGAGAGAGAGAGAGAGAGAGCGCGCTCATCCTAAGAATAAACCCAAACTAAGAAAAGGCCTTTATCAGGCTTTCAGGTTACTTTGGCTGCTGTTTAAAACCCCAATAGGGTTTATACTTCTAATTACTTCTAGTCTGGCGTTATATAACTCGGTAATCTTGTAAACGTCAGCTGAGCAACAAGGTATTTAATGATGGTGACTGTCACCTGTTTCCATTGCTGTGTTCGTCTGCTAGTGCCCCGTTGGTGCCCCACTTATGCCACAATATAGGCCTCCATTTTTCCCGATCTCTGCTCTGACGAATCGCTTCCCAAAGTAGTAGATCATTGTCGGTTTTTACGTTGTCAGCCGACAAGTGCAAAAAAAGTCTAGTTTCTACCTTGTCTTTTTTTCTTCTGTTCAGGGTACCTTTATTCTACTCCGGAGCTGTAATGAGTCAGCATTTTAAAATGTTCGTTCTTCAAAATGACCCTCATCGTTCAGTAGGTCTTTTGTCAAACCAAAAGACAGAGAATATGTATTCTCAAGTATGCTGTCTCTGTGTTTTCGTACTGTGAAGAATTACAACGACGATGACACTCAAACATTATTATGTCGTGAGGCCAAAAGGAGGCAGAGCATATCATGTATCGACATCAACTAATATTGCTGTTTGCAAGGAAAAAAAACTACAACAACAAAACCCAAAACATAACAAACCAACCAAAACAAAAAAACAACCCGCACCCACAAATTTTTATCTAGTTGAAATAATACACCGCAGTCAAATTTTCAAGCTCCTTTGCCGCATTTTTTGGCACAGCTTCGTACTCAAAAGGTAATGCACTTCTAACCTGGCCTCTTGTAACTCGTGTACTCTTACGCCACCTGTGAAGAAAGACTTTTTGTACGAACTTGACTGACTTGCAAAAATATAAGACAGTTTCAAACCTGTACTTTGTTCCTTTTCATATATACCCACAACTCCTTAAGAACGTGGCAGACACATTTATGTCCGACCAGCAGCAGACAAAAGGCAACAACGTGACACATTTTGAACAATCATACACAGATCAGACCCACGAATTTGTATATTTCATTGAAGACACATTGTTGCAGGCTTTTTAATTTAAAGTCTCAGATTAAGAAAACAGAACTGACAAATATGTATAAATGTCATGCTTCTTATTCTTTTAATGCCTCCAAACAGCGGGCTTTCAAGCGTTGTCGTAGATCCATTGCAAAATGCGCAAGGCCAAAAGGAGACAGCGTATAATTTTGTCATCATACATTGACAACAACTTACAAAACAAACGCACACAAATCCAATTGAAATATCCCACAATCATCCTTGCTAAGTTTTAAGCTTCTTTGACTGCATTTCAGATCCCTAATGGATCTATAATTCAAACTTTCTCTCACTAACAAAAAAAATCTTCTTTATTTTGAACTTCTTTTTGTTGCCCTTTTCCCTCGTGTTGGGCCCTGCCGAGACAGCAATTTCGTATGTTCCATCTCTTTTTAATGACCTTCCTGTTCAGTAGGTCGTTGTCTTTAGTCGATCCATTCTCTAAAATGTACCCCTTAGGTTCGTTGTCTGAGTCTTTTAGAACCATTAAGAATCATAACGAGCACTTCAGGCTTTTGCGAAGGGGCGAAAGGAAGATAGAGCATGGTATCACTATCATGCTCTGGCTTGTCGTGACCCAACTTTTGCACTCAGCTCCAAATTGCAGCATGTTTTATCATGACCCTGACCTCAGTCTCCAGAAAATATAAAACTTTGACTGAAATAATTTCCTTTTCTTTTAAAAAGAAACTCATTTTGTTCCCCTGCAAATACACGAAGATACACGGGTTATTGTCAACCGACACCGCCCCACCCTTGCCCCATTTTCCTCCTCCCCTCCCCCTCACCCTCCCTCGTAAAAAAACTAACCAAAACCGCTATCCCCGTCGCTTGAGCTGCCACCCACTTACATAACATCTTCCCCTTTTTAACCGTGGGTCTCGAATATGGGCATGTTACATTATCTTATCGTTCCGGCTCTTAGAGAAAAGTATGAGACAGAGCTAAGTGCTCTCGCTCGTCGCTCAAACCAGTTGTATAATTTCCTGCGAAGTGCGAGGAGTAACATATGATTGTATCACGAGTGGGACATGTGATGAGGGAGGAAGGGGGAATAATAATATGTCGCCCTTTGTACCACAAGTGAAGGGGAACGCGCATTATAGTCCCGAGGCGTGAGGTTTCATTTTTATTTCCCTCTCCGTGCGTTCAGTGTCTTCCATCCAGCTCTTGTCAGTGCAGATCTGGTATCCGAAGGTCCTATGATAGTTTAAATTGGATCTACTTGTGTCTAGTCAGTTAGTCGATAGACAGTTACAAAACAAAGCTAGTTAGATCTGAGTGGTGAGTATCAGATAACTATGAACCGGTGGAGACCTCGTGGAACTATCTCGGAGCGGACAAACACTCTAAAAATACAACGAGCCGCTGTTCTACGTGCCAACATGTATGCATATTTGTGTGGTATTTATTCGTCTTGCTCTGTAAGTCTTGATTAAGCTAGTGAAAGAGGCAAGTGAGTCAAAAATCTACTCACTTTTAACCGAACTTGTGCTATCATAGAGGTCAAAGCATCGAAGTTGAGACGACGTGTCAGAACCTCAGTCATTGTCTGAGATTTTCTGTATGCCATGTTGTGTGTGCATAGATAGAAAGACCGATAGATAGATTATTGTCCACCCACTATGATAGAATTGAAAGAATTCGAAAATTCTAACTAATCTGAAAGTAGAATGAATTGAATTTTTTTCTTTCATTTACAGATTTCCAGTAGTGACCGCAAACAACCCTAAATAGTGAGAAAATGGAGCGTGAAGAAAGAAACAGTGACAGAGATACACCAGTCCCAAGTTCCGATGGGACAAGACGCCCTCTTTCAAAGACAGATTCCCCAGAAATGTTGGATAATATCCAGATTTCTTATCAGGATCAGGACGAAGCTTCTACTGCCACTCTCAGAGATTTTCTACCCCAAGATGAAGGACATGGGGAAAAGCGCGCAGAAGAAAGAGCAGGAAGCCCCAACTCGACTGTACGTGAGCCAGGACACGCCGACAGCATGATGCCACAAACGTCTCCAGATGGAAAATTCCCAAAAGACCTTTCCGATACTTCTCAAACTTCGATCCCAAACGCCACATCTACGTCGGGCCAGAACGACGAGTCGCACACCTTCCCGTTCTCCACGACTCGCGCGTGGCTCACCCTCGGAACCGTCCTTGTGCTCAACATCATCACATTTATCTCGCTTAGTTCAATTTGCACTCAGTATTTTTCCTATCGTATCGCGAGGGACAGCTACAACACCAGCCTGAACTCTTCATCAGAACAGGGCAGCAGCTGCAGCAATGCCACCGAGGAAGTGGAAGGGATACAAAACGAGGTTCAGAAAGAGGCGGCGAAGATCAGTTTGTATTCTTCGCTGGCGTCTGGTATCCCTGCCGTCGTCACAAACGCCCTGCTGGGCTCGTACTCAGACTACGTTGGCAGAAAGCCTATCATTGCAGCCGCTGTAACAGGTACGCTAACTGGAATATAAACATGTTGTTATACACAGTAGAATTATAAATGGACTGATTTATCAATGTCATGCTATACTGTTCCGGGACAACGAAGGGGGAACTGCTGCCTTTTCTTTCCTCATCCTTACTATTGTCATTTTTCCTCAACTTGTTTTGTATGTTTGTCACTCTCTTGTGAACTGCTATTTCATGGGTGCCTTGATAGTCGAAGCAGACTTTGTGTTGTTGAGGCTAGAGTGGTGAGCAGAGTAAGCCTGATTCCACGTTTGGACATCTCTGCTGACATCCACCCCTTGGCGCTCATATGACCTTATGCAGTTGCGAGCGCTGTAAAACCTTACTAAACTACTAAACCAAAATTTCCAAACTCTTTCAGCATTTCGCTATCTAGGGCCTCATCGGGAAATTAATATCTTAAATTAAAGATGCAGCAAGAAGGGTGCTCCCTAAACCAGATCTGTGGTGTGCTCGATGACTCAATGATACTTTTAACTATAACACAACTTGAAAAATATAATAAATTACCATAGAGCTGGGGACAGTGCTTATTATTTATTAACAGGTGGTGGTTAGTTGGGAAACAACGTAGACGTGATTAAGTAGGCACTTGGTGTGTTTGTGTGTGTACGTATGTGTGTGTGTATAATTTGTGTGTGTAAGCGAGATTGTGTCGGTATTTGTGTGGGTGTGTGTGTGTATGTGTGTGTGTGTGTGTGT